AAGTTGAGGTCTGCTGAAGTGTCCTTTCTTTGCTACGTGGGCCTCCAAAGCCCTCTGTACCTTTCAGTGGATACAAACCCATGCATTTGGGATTGTAAGCAAGAAACAAGGAAAGTCAGGAAGTCATCAATCTAGGAAAAAAGTAAAAGTTTTAACTATGGCTCCTCCCAACAATTGATTAAAGGCTAACACAGCAGCTTGGCTGGAAAGACTGCTTCCCTCCTGAGCCCCAAGGTAAGCAAACACTGTAAATGCTCTGGGGGAGTGGCAGCAGAAAAAAGGTGGAAAATTTCTCTTAGCAGCATGGACTTTCTTGAGATGGGTCCAAACAAAATCTGAGTAACTCTTCAGCTATGAGATGTGCTGATCTTAGCTATGGATGGGAGCTCCACAGCTCATGACCATTGTTAGGTGAGAGTTTATGTGGGATGTTTAAACACCAAAACTGATGTAATATGACATATGGATGCGTTGCCAGACAGCAAACATGTGATGGTCACACACAAACATGCACATGATTTCTTTGGTGCTGGAGGCTTTAAAACAGTTGCCCTGAATGCTGGGTTGAAGACAAGCATTCGGCTTAGAACTGGGCACCATTAACTGCGTGGAAAGTACCTGCAAGTTGGACCCAAGTGCAGAGGGAAAATATGGAGGTATTGCCTTAACTCTCTGCATCTGTGATCATAAGTGGAAAAACCACCAGCTTATTGTGGTGTTGGACTGAAACAAAGTAAAGTAAGAACAGAGAAATAGCTTCACTAACATTCAGTGGCTGTCATGTGTACCAGCATCATCTGGATTTAACAACAACAGATTAGCAGGATCATTTAAAAAACCCAAACCAACAAAACTGAAACATAACCGAAACCAAAAACCCAACTCAAAACCTCCAAACCACACCCTCAAAATTACAAAGAATAAAGCTATTTTCATTGGAGAGTCTAGAAGAAGCTGTGAGTGGCTATACTGCCAGGTTTACTCAATATATATTATGTATAATTATTAAGTGACATATACATGAACTCATTTACGAGAAGCTATTAGGAGAGCTAAGGGTAGAATACTTTGAATTATGATGCCAAGAGTCCTAAGAGTCCAAGCTAACTGTAGGTCCATATAAAGCTAGTGAAAACCTACAGCTAATTACAGGCTATCAATAAAGCTGCGAGCAAGCCAGCATCACTAAGGAAAAAAAAAAAAAGGAAATCAACTCCGAAAAATTCCACCATAGAAAAACTAGGAATGGCAGAATAAGTTAAGTAAGAGGCATCAGTATCACAGCACTACACAACAGAGGCTGGATAAAGACTACAAGAGAAACCTTTCCCCCACACCAGCTAGAGAAGTAAGCTAATGATGTGAGTTATTGACATGACTGAGGTGTTCAAACACTGACTAACCATTATCTCTTCTCTGCAGTACCAATAACACACCGTGACTGCCAAGCTGAGTGCAAAAACCCCATCCCAACCTAAAACCCCTACCCTTGGCAGGCCTAGATAGAAGTATGGTACAACAGGAGATATTCTGATGCTGAGTATGGAAAGCTGCCCCCTGCCAAGTTCACTGTAGTTTGAGAAGAACTTAACCTCAGTTGCAGGGAGGTGGGCACAAGGCTGGAGGTGCCACTCTCTGCATTGATCCTTTTGCTGCAGCAGATGAGGGGTGAAGGACAAGAGGAACTTCAAGGTGTCAGGAAGATGTAATGCTGGCAATAAATTATTGAGTTCTGTTTTAAACCACACTGCTTCCTGTCATTGCAGTTACAGCCACATTCAAGTCAAAATGTGTCTTCAGTTGAAGTACTGGAAAACAGCATGTTGGGCTAGGCCTTTTGTGAAAGTCCATTTGTTGCAACTAGGTTTCAGTAGGCATTGGGCATCTGAGCTTTACTGGACTCAAAAATCTCAGCCTTAACATTTGCTATACAGGTTTAAGGGAGGATTTGTGCATGTTATTGAGAGTAAAGTTAAGGGGATTTCAGGGAGAAACTTTCCAGAAATCAACACTAATTATGTTGCTTTGGTAGTAAGAGATCAAAAAAGTCATTACCAGATTAAGCATAGTTTTCATATTTTGGAGGCTTTGCTAGATCACATGGCTCAGGTAGTTAATTTAAAAACTAGTCCCTCAGAGTTTCCCACTTTGCTGTACAGATAATAGCAATTCTAAACACAGTTGGTAATTTTACTTTTGTAAACTATTTGATCTCTTACCTTTTCTTGATAAAACTTTATCTGTGAAACAGAGAAATGAACCAAATATTATGGAGCATTTTAATACTTCAAACAACAAAAAACCCACAAAACCCTTACGATCCATCACTAGTTAAGTTTGAAAATTCAGTTCCTTTAATTAAATTCTTCTGCCTGACACTTAAAATTACTTTTACTTTTCAGCCCATATCCATAAAGTATTGCTACTCATAAAACAAATCAAATAGATATAGAAAGAGACAAGAGCAAAAATTAAAAGCAAAGTCTGGTTAGCAATGCCATTTCCAGTGGAGAGATGAATTTCAAGAAGGTATGATTAATTACTGGTATTAAGAGCTGAATTATAACTACAGAGGTTCTAAATAGAGCCAGCATGTTTGGCTTAATTAATGATGGGAACAGCTGGGAATATGGACAGAAAGGCTGAAGGAATGGAAATGGCTACTGGCACTTGACATGACTAAGTGACAAAACAGGGTGCGATTGTTGTTGTTTCCTTGCTTCAAGTCCTTTGGAGTTAAAAAGCTAGAAGGTATTTTAAAGTTTATTTCTTTCCCACCTCATACCTTATTCATCCTGACGTTCTAAACTGACACACCACTTGCTAAAATTCTTGAACATCTAGAGGATGACAAATGCTTTATGAGTTTGATATAAAAATTGCCCCTTTATGGCATGGCAGCAGCAGGGAGATGGGCCTGGAATTCAGTTTCCAACAATCACAATGCCAACACAATTGAGAGCCCCAGGTCCAGCTGGGGTTGGTTGTATGCTTGTCACAAGATTAGCAGTGAATGCATTTTAAACTGCTGACAGTGGAATCCTAGGCAATTTCTTTTTCTTCATGCAGCATTTGTTAGCCTTAGTGAATATTCTAAACAAGTAACATGATCCAGGTTTATTTATGTCTATAATCTGTTCCATCAATCTGTTAAATCATATGTTTACATTTCAAGTAAAGGCCCAATTACTAAACTTTATTCACCTCTTCCAGTGCAACTTTAGCAAGAATTACTGCTGATGGTACCTCATGATATTTTAAAATACACTGCAGTTAGGTTTCACACCACAGTAAGATTCAATCTGCTGTTACTGAAGACCCACAATATTTATTGCAACTTGACTGTGAAAATTCCTGTTTATGAAATCTTTTAACCTGTAGTTCAGCAGCTCATTTCTGTGTGCTTACCATTAGGTCAGCAGTACAGTGTTCTCAGAAGTGGATAAATGCTTTGGAATGCTCACAGGGCTGCAGTGCTGTCACAAAACAATGCACACACACACACAGAGGATTAAAGGCAGTGATGCAGGCTTGCAGGCAGCTTTGCCCTACAACAGGGGCAGACAGTCCCTGCAGGATCAGCAGAAAGCATTTTACTTGCACACACAGATTTACAGAGCTTTACATAGGAGGTACTCAGTGAAGTAAACAAGATGATTTATCTGCATGAAATGAAGCATGCATGGAACTCTTCAAAGCAAATGGACTTAAGTTTCTGCCCACCTGTTCCCCAACTAAATGTGCTGGATTTTCACTACCCAGTCTGTTGCACACGCCGTTTCTCTAAAGGCCCCAAGTTGGTAACGTGGAGTGTAAAATGGTGTGTGCCTTGTTCACTGCAGAGAAGCAGTGAAATGAACTTCATCTAGTTAGGAGTTTTCAGCTTAAGAGATGACTTTCAGTTCTCCCTGTACACCTGTTCTGACCATAAACTCATAATCTATCTTGGGAAGCTTCAGAGCCTGTGCTTGAGGTGCTGCCACAATGCGTCCCATGTTTCAGTAAAAAAACCCACCAGAATTTATTTCTCTAATGCTCTAGGACTCTAAGTTCTCATTTGAGTTTTACATTGAAAAGTCAATAAAACAATTTGTCAAATCAATTTCCTTGATGCTATCAGTGTTTCTAAATGGAAGCAGATTTCTTCCAAGACATAGTATGCTTTTTTTTTCCACAGAGATTCTGTCTAAGCTGCATTACCTGACTACAGGGCCAGATAAAAAGTGTCAGTATAGATATTACTGTGACTCATTTGGCAGACAGCTATTTGTAAAAGATTGTAATTTTGCAGTGTGCTGAAGCCACAGTTCAGCCAGTCTGTGAACAAAGACTTGCTTTCTCATATTTCAGATTTTCAACTTGCAGCCTGCTCCCCAACACATTAAGGGCTGATTGTCTTTAATCTTCATATTGCTAAGGTTTTATGGTCCTGCTTTGTATAGAGCATAGTATTTAGAGAAAGAGTGAGCTGATCTCAGCTGGCTTGTCTAGATGCTAATGATGTAAATATTCATCTCTGGAGAGGAGCTTGTTCTCCTCAGTTACACTGACAGTGAATCAAAAGCCAGTTGTATGCATCAGTGTTCAGAGCAGGCTACTCTATCTAGTGCTGAATATTTTGGTTTGGACTGAGCAGAACTAATGTGAGACAAGATAATCTGCATGTGCCTTGTATTAAAAAAAAAACAACCTAAAAACCAAGCCCATAAAAAACTTCAAGCCCCTCAAACCATGACAAGAAGAAGCCCTACACATATGATATCCTGCCATGCTATAATTTCCCAGCTGCAAGATTAAAAGAAGATCAGATAATGATAGAATTGATACTAAGGAAACTTGACTAATTATTTGTGACCACAAAAGAATTCTACTGGGAAGAGGAGAGAGGGCAAGCAAGACCAGAAGAAAAGGAATCTGACTGATGGGGGTGGAAAATGAAGGAACAATTCAAGATTTCACACATGCCAACACATTACTTTCAACTGCTCTGTTTTTTGTAGTTGTTTCAGGCTCTGAAGAAGACTTTTGCTCCTTCAGTGGGTCACTGGTAAGATTTCTTCCACTGCTGTGTTTAGTTATGTAGACTAGTGTGCACCTACAGTGCTGCTTTTACCATCATCAGGTCACTTACACCTGTGCTCTCTCCTTTTTCTGTTGTGCTTTGCTCTCTGTCCTTCCCTTGACCATCAGTGCCACCCCTGAAGATCATGATTCCCTTCCTGCTGCAGAAATCTGTTTTCTCTCAGAGCCATGACCGTATTGCTACGTCTTTTGTGAGCTTCATGTCAGTATCACTAGCTGAAGTAATAGCAAGGTTCAAGTCACCTGTAGGATTGTTGTCTGGGTGCAACTCCCATGCTCTCTTTTGTACTGGTCCAATTTTGTCTTCATTCTCCACTATCCTTGATTATTTCCCTAAAACTTGTAAACTGGGAGATTATTGGCTCCAGCCTTCTAATTTCCTTACACCAACATTTCAACTGAACATCTGTGGCTCAGCTGTAATGTTAATAAATATTTGAATACAGGAAATGGGATGCTGTAGTGCTAGAGATAATCTGTATGTTCACTCAGTTCTTACAATAAACATCTCTTCCACATCTCCTTTCCTCCCCACTGCATCTGCTATGATAGATAACCCTTCAAAGCTTTGCTCTCCTACAGAGAAGCTGGAAAGAGAAAGGGGAACTAACTGCTCCATCTATCAAGATTCCCTCTGGCCCAAATCTGTGTACACTCCCACAGGGGATTTTCAGTGGAAGCACATTTTGTACTGCAGAACATGTGCTAGTTTACATCCTGTTTTCATTTCTGCAGAAAATTCACTTCCCAAACTGTAATGGGGTGAGTTTTTGTAATGGGCCAGGCTGTATAAGAAGCCATGTTCTCTGAGCAACACAAAAACCTGGAGGCTTCAAATAGGCACAAGGTGTGCTGGCCCCATTGAGACTCACTGTTACTGTGCACAGGGTGCTGTGCAGACCAGCAGGATTACCTCTGGAGACTCCATTAGGAAAAACAATTACTGATTAACCTGCACAGGAATATTTACCCAGTACAGTAGTTCAACTGATTCCTGCCTCCGTGTTTTCACTTCTAAAACACAAAGAAATTATACCTTAATAATGTCTAATTATTCACCATCTCCACTACCTTTGCACCATTTCCAGCAGCACCACATTTCAGAGTATCTGCCATATTTCAGAGGATCTAGTACACCAGATTTCTTTCACCTTTATATTCAGCTCACTCATTGGATAAATTCTGTGGCCTGGTAGATTAATAGCTTCCTTTACTAATGTTAAGAGTTTTTGCTACTTTTATCTCGTCATCTCTAAAAGTCCAGCCAAGAATATGCTGAAAACTTGCTTTTTTCCTAGGTCTTCATTAATAGGGGGAAAAAAAAGAGGCTGGGAGGATAATTGCTTATTTTAAGCCACTAGCAACTCTATAAGGTTATGCAATTGTCAATGAAAATCTAGTTTGACCTACATACATTTTATTAATGTTGATGAACCAAAACAAAGGACATAAAATCTTATTATTACTATTTCACAAGATTAATAATATTTGATATGAAGTTACAGAGAAACAGACACAGTGTTTTGTACTATTTTCCAGTATATACTAAACACTCTTTAAAAGCATCCTGCATTTCAGATGCTGAGATGCAAACCTTCCAAGAATAAAATCTCATTTGTCCCTCTCATTTAACCAGTCTCATAACAGGTAAGTGAACACAACAGATAAAGCCTAATCTGAAATGGCTAGTGTCGAAGCTTCTGTATTAAAATGTATTAATGTGCTTGCTCATCACTCCTCTCTCACAAGGCACATAATTATTTATCATTTGGGCTTGAACATTCCATGCCCAGTACATGGTTGAGTTTGGACTTTTATTTTTAAGAGCGTAGGTGAGTATGTGTGTAAGGCTTTGCCAGTTCTAGCTATTTACCAACAATTATGGCAACATTTTTCTGTCTCACAGAGCAGACTGTATGTACAAAACAGAACGAGAGAAACATGTTAAGGAGGGATCCTGTGCTGTTCCAAGAGAAGAAAAAATCCATCCAAGTTTGGCCAAGTTAAAAGCTTTGGATAGAAGCTCACAAATGCCATTTGGACCCTCCTGCCCCAGTATCTAAGTATCTGGCTGTGGTATAGGTTTACACTTGCTGATTGTGCCCAGTTTTCTTAGAGTTCCTAGCACTTATTGGCTCTATTGACAGCTCTTCAAACTAGAAAGGGGAAGAGACAGACATTCCTAGTGGAGCTAATTCTGGATCAGGGCAGACACTGAATATGGGAGCAACCTGTCCATTTTCCCTAAATTCTTGAATATTATTTTTCTATAATAGTTGGACTTGATGATCTTAAAGGTCCTTTCCAACCTTAACAATACATAACATTGTATGACATTCAGGAAGAGGAGGAAAAAGATTTTTGGTTTTAAAGCAGAAGGTCAAGCAGAAAGGTACTTGACGCATAATTTTGGGAGCAACCCTTGTACTAGCCAGGTCTCATGCAAAACTGTAGAAAATGAGTCTGCAAGTTCTCCTGCTGTCTTTTTTTTTGTTTTTTCGGTGGAAAAATCTTATTTCCATTATATTCATGACTTAAAAATATATGAGTTATCTCTATGCTCACTGAGAGGAATGTAAAATGATATCCAACCCCAGCATCCTTCTCACTCTGCAACCTAACAAAGAGAGAACGGCACAATGGGTACAGCTCTTATCTTCTAAATCTTACCCTAATATCAACAATATGCAAATAAACGAGTGCCTACTTATAAAGTTAAACATAGTAATTAAATCTCTGCTATCCCGAGTCAGTATTGGAACTGTGGGCCTCATTGCATCTTGAAGCTTATTGTTCTTCCCTAGCACCTTTATTACAGTCCCTTTTCTGTTCTTTGGACTTCCACAACTCACCAGAGTCATTTCAGGTCTTTCATTTCCAAACTGTTTGAAAATGGCAGCTATAGAAATAAAGCTGCCTCTTCATTTACTGTTCTCCTGCCTCCATTAAATCCCATTAAACAGGGGGAAACTATAGAGTTTACTTCATCACAGGACCCCAGTTTCAAATCAAGAATTAAGGAGTTATGGGATTGCTTTGTTGCATGCCCATTATTGGCACAGCTAGTGGTGGATTTGGTGTGGCACGTTACTGACTCTAGCCCTGACTTCCTTGTGACCTCCAGTGTGCACACAGCAGTAATCCTGCCTTTTGGGCAGCAAGGAAAAGCCCAGACTGCATCTCACCTAGGCAGGAGGGAAGGCAAGGCCGCCTGAACTGTGCTGCTTTGTTTGCTCATTGTTGGGTTTTTCCCTGGCTGTACTGAACCTTGTTTTGTTTTAGCCATTGTTCAGGTCTTGGCTGTACAGGACTTATGTTCTAGATCTCTATTTTTTCCTGTAATTTATTGGCCTTATCAGTAAAGATGGTTCCCTGTGGAGCAGCTATATTTAGTTGATTTTGGATTCAGTTTTAGTCTTATAGTGACAGCTGTGCCCTCAAAAGCAGCTTGTAAACAGTTCTATGGAAAGGCATAAAGCACTCCAGGGGCTCACCAGAAGAGGAAATGGGGCCACAAGTGTAGGACAGATAAGATCCCTAAGGGGATAAAAATAAAGTTTAACTACAGAGACTTATGAGATTATGATAATAGGTGACATGAAGGTAGGCAAGGGGTTTTGGGGAACCACACAGATGAGCTTTGGGTGACGTATGTTAAAGAAGAAAGTGTGGTGCAGGTAGACTATAAGAAAGCCAGGTCTATTGCTTCATGCAGAAGAAGAAAAGTGAAATTTCACTTTGTTAAATGATAGTAGAACAGCTAGGAGAGGAGAACAGCTCTTTAGTGAGCTGTTGCAAAAAGCTGGTTTAAAAATTACTCCATTATCAGCATAGAACAATCCTGTTGGGAGAACAGAAGCCATATTCTTACCCTCAGACTCACATCCTCAGCTACTTCTACTCTACTTTCCCATGTTTCTTGTGGCACACTGTGCTTGTTGGTAGAAGCCCCTGCAGCTTTTCTCAAACCTCATCAGGACCAGCCTGGGCAACACCAAACATATCCATGGGCAACTTCTCTTGCACTCACTATAGGAACTCTCTTCCCTGCTCATACAACAACTTTGGGGAACTTCACTAAATTTAAAAGCTCTCCCACCAAAATGGTTAAAAGTGTCCAATGTCTCCGAAACTGTGACAGATGAGGCTATATAATTCTAAAAACATTAGTAATTTTAGGTCCTTGTCTTTGCATTCTGATGAAACTTGCAAAGGCTGTAGCCAATTATGTACCTTCTGCACACCTGTTATAAACACCAAAAATATTTGGCTGGTGGTTCTTTCCTTCCAGTCTCTTTGATTTCCCCTACAAAGATTTGAAAGCATGCCTCATGACAGGAAATCCAAAAACATTTGCTACCTTCTTTGCAAAAGCTATTTTACCTGGATTGATTTTACACTTCTGGCAACACTCTGCTAAGATTCCTCTCAACTATTACCATTAAGAAACGTTACAGTAAGAACAAGGATATTGTTCAAACATTTTCTGTCTTAATTCCCACAAATTTCTAAGAAGAAAAACCCAATCCCCCTTCAGTCTCTTATGAGGTTGGAATATGCACCTGGACAGATAGAGTATGTGAGAGCTGCACTTGCATTGAAGGCACACGTATATTTTTAAAGTAACCCGCGTCATCAAAACTTTTGTTTATTTCAAGTAATTTGGTGATCTGTTGTTTTATATGTTGTCACACAGAGTTCATCCTGATTTTCAGCAAGGAATGGCATAAAGCAGAGAGGAAAACTTTTCCAGAGTTTCTATGTGACCACCCAGCCTTGGCTTTTTGCACTAGTCATTGGCCAATCTATCTGCACTTTGTCAGGGCCTCTTAACCTATTAAAAAATACACTTGAGGCTGATGTGATTTGGTTCAGGAAGATTTACAGAACTCACCCTTCATCTGTCAGCACGGTCTCAGGCAAAGTTTAGGGATTTCACAAAAGAAGGGGAGGAAGCCTAAGGTA